TTATACGATAAGGTTTGCGCGAGTTATAAGGGTGCGAATTTCCGGAAAACTATAGGTTTACGCGGGTCTATAGGTTACGCGGGGCCCACTTCTATACTCTACACTTCGTCGCACAACACGTCAGGTGTTAGTCTTTTATATCGTATCGGATCGCATAGCCCTGCGTACCGTTCGCTCCGGAAGCGAGGACTTGGCTGTCTCGATTGCCTTGTCGTCAGCCCAGCTACGTACCGGATGTCTTCGCCTCTATCGTCAACGCTAATATGCATGTTCAATGTCATGGATTTGCATCGTCGCTTTGCTCGCATGGCATAAACCCGGGTGAACATCCAAAAGACATACGACCTGCTTCTTGGGCGACTGATATACCTGCGCGCTGATGCGGTGTTATTCAGTTCCTTCGCGTACTCAATCTCAGCCTTCGTTACAGTTCTGAGTCCGATTTGATCGGTGGAGTTGTGACCATGTCGATGCCAGCACCCTCTGCCGCGCTTACACCCGGGCTCGATTTCAGCAACATCTCATATGGCAAGCCCACTGTTCAACGATTCGCTGCGGAGTCGCAAGTCGCACGAGAAATCTTGAAAGAAAAGTTGCAGGTAAGAATTGATCGTCCTAGTTGCTGCGAGTCTCGGTGGCTCGGCTCAGGATATCTCCCTTGTTGCTTATACGTATTTTGGCCAGGTATTCGGGGAGCTCAAATCTGTCTTCAGTGTCACACTTGCGGATGGCGTCTTCACGGAGCCACCAATCTGGATCGATGCTCGGGCTTCTCTAGTGAAGTTCCGGGAGACTGCTCCACCTGACGGGCCGGCTCCAGCGTTCGAGATCACGATCAAGCCTGAACAGATCGAGTGGCTTCACACGGGGTTCTGAGAAGATCCACAAGCCGTTGTGTTTCTGCAGTCCCAACGCAAGGGCGCCGTAATTCAGGCGGTCCAGTTCGCGGATTTACTGACCCCCAATCCGAACAAGCCGCCCACGCCGGAGAAAGACCTAAATCCTGACGAGCTTCCCAAGCCAACTGAAGATATCGATCAGGTCCGAAGAGACATCAGGAGATGGGGCTACGGGTAAGTCAGCCGCGACGCCAAGACGATTGCAGGTCTTTGTTACGCTGTCTCGCAACAGATTGGTGAAGAACGCTTTGTCACGCGAGCAGGTCGCGATCTTAAAGAGGGCTGTTCAGGAACAAGCTGCCGGAGAGCGAAATGCTGGTGTTGCAACTTTCGATGGAGGTCCGTCTAGGCCAAACCAGCGAGTCTGTGTACAACAAAGGTGATGAGTTCCATGACCTGATGAATCATCCTCTAGTCGACGCAATCGCAGCATGGTATCTGGGCGACAATCCTCTGCTCTGGAGCTACAATGCCAATATAGCACGCCCTGGAGGGCACCCGCAGGTTCTCCATTGGGATTCGGGTGTAATGGGTGCGGGACGGAGCCAGCCAGTCGCTCTCAACATATCTTGGTTGTTGGTTGACATGACGGAGAAGAATGGAGGAACACGAATCTTTCCAGGCTCGCATCTCGTCAATGTTAGACCTCGTAACATGTTCTCGACAGTGAGTGCTCAACCTCGTCCACTGATGCGGACAGTATAGAGAGATTCTGACATGCTTTGGGACATAGGAGGGATCCATAGCTGCTGAGGCACCTGCCGGCACAGCGCTCTGCTTCGAGGGCCGTCTTTGGCACGGTACCGGTCCTAACAATGAGACAAGCGGCGAGCGTCCCGTGATCTTGTCCCTTTTCTGCAACAAAGGCATTCGCCCTAAAGAAAATGCTCTCCTTGGCTTAGATCATGAGACTGAAGCCAAGCTATCTGAGCGAGACAAGTCTTTGACAGGATTCCGGACCTCGACGGCCGGCATAGGTGGTACGTCAGGGGAGTCTCGCGCAGGCATCACCTTGGCTCGACCGAGAGACGGAGACTTCAAGCAGACGGGCAAGCTGCGAGCTCCGCACGACGACGCTGAGGTTGCTCGCATGATTGCCGATGGAACTCATGCTACGAATGCAGCAAGTCAAGCGCGCGCTGTGTTCAATGTCGACGGGTAAAGGAACGGAGAGCTGCTAGCCTCTTGTGACAGAAGAGTCTCAGGATGTTTAGTAGTGCTATGTACGTGGTAATCGCCGTATTGACCAAGTTGTTCGCATTTGTCAAGACCCAGACCGTCGACGAATGAGCAAAGCCGGATCTTGAAATGGCAGAGAGACACTGTTTGCTCTATTCCACTGCAACATGAATCACGATGCTCTGAGGGGATGAATACATGAGCAAGCATGACATGGGAAGCAGGTGCGCTCTCCTTCATGCTACATCATCATCGCAGCAGCAAAACGGCACCTTGGAAGACTGTCGTACTCGCACTTTGATCTATGAGATGCTGTCAGTTCGCTCACTACATTCGCTAAGTTACATTAGGCTTTCGACATTCCCCGCCTGGAGTGAACCCGTTGAGGATGGCGTCCTCACCTTGCACGCGTTAGGTCTATGGGCCAAGTGACTGCGGAAGTCTCACTCCTGCGATAGTAGCTTATTAACACCTACAGCCGCGATGGAAAATCGGCAGTACTCGAATATCCGACGGGTATTCTTGGAATTCAGCCACCAATCTTGGCTCTGATATACCCGAGCTTGGCTGACCCTTCCTCTTACTCCTTATGCAATAGCGCTGCTCCTAGTTCTGCGGTCACTCGAGGCATTCTATTTTTCTACCGCATGCCATAGACACGGGCATCCGATCTTGCGCGAGATCATCACCGTCACGCGGGGCAAGTCTGGAGAAATGCGGAGCAACGATGATGATCATCGAAGACAGAATCCTTCGCAGATACGAGGCCCAAGAAACATGTCATGTGGGGTTTTCTGGTAGCCAACATAAGAAGAGATTATGGGACGTCGAACTCACATTCATCACTCTCATCGAGGTCAGATCACTTCCTGCTTTCTCGTGGTTCCCAGCACATTAGATCCAGCATGATTGCTAAAGCATCTACGATCAGTGCTGCGGCAGCAGCTGTCTTGCTCACGTTGCCTCACTATAGCATTGCAAGCCCGACCAAGCGTCAAGCAGGCCCTTTTGAGCCGACATGGGAGTCAACAGACCAGCACAAGCCTTCGCCAGAGTGGTTCAAGGACGCCAAATTCGGGATCTATTGGCACTGGGGAGGTTTCTCGGTGCCAGAATATGGCTTCGAATGGTATCCTCGTTTCATGTATGATGCCAACAACGACATGGGTCAACACCATCGCGCCACCTACGGGGATCCCAGTGTGCAGGGAGGTTTTGGATACCAGAATTTCACATTCGGTAGCCCCGACCTGGAAGGCAATATGGTACAGTTCAAGCCAGTCCGATCATCGGAAGGGGGCGAGTGGGATCCCGAACACTGGATCGAGGTGATCAAGGCTTCGGGAGCAAGGTTTGCCGGTCCAGTTGCAGAGCACCACGATGGCTACGCGTTGTGGGACAGCAAGTTCAACGAATGAAACTCGGCCAGGCTTGGCCCAAAGTTGGACTTTGTCTGCATCTTTGAAAAGCTTGTGCGAAATAACGGAATGAAGTTTATGATTGCAATGCATCAGGCCTACAACACAAATGGCTTCTTCGGGTTTGCGCCTCAGCAGAGCGATACGAGCTTGCGCAAGCTCCTCGGGCAGTTCAATCACGAGGAAGGCTCCAAGAGGTGGCTCGCCAAGCAAATGGAAGCTATGGACCATGTGAAACCTGATATGATCTGGAACGACTTTGGCCTTGACAGCCCAACTCTTTGCCATGGATCTTCCGACATTTGTGCCATCCGCGAGAAGGAACGACTCGAATTTCTGGCGACCGAGGCTTGAGCTGCTCAGCATTCCCTCGCACGTGGAAGCAGAACCTGCTGCTTGGCGGAAGGATTGCCCAATCGCTTTGTGCCAGGGTCTCGTAATGTAGCGGATGCCTCGTAGCTCGCGGCAATAATGCTTCACAAGAATCGAGAGACAGACTATCAAGTGCATCCAGAGTTGCGATGGACACATTGAACGTTGACCCGTCTGGGAGGGCAATGGGCGGATTGACGTGCCCATTACTGGCTATCCTCAGTTGGCACAGTTGCTTGTGGAAGCATGCTGAGTCGATGTCCTGCTGAGTCGATGGTGCTGCTGCTATTATTAGCTGTGCGTGATCGAGTGAAACCCCGGGCTGTATCAGTTTCGGTATAGGGATGAGCTGTCGTTGGGACAACAGACCCGGTGTTACATCAGGTACAACGTCCACGCTAACCAAGGCAGACTCTCGATATTCGATCATTCTACAACTCCTTCTCGACGACGATCAGTAGAAGACACGCCGATCTCAGTGCCACCTGTGCTCCCATCCGTGCTTACAGACCGCTCACATTCGAGAAATCCACCTTCATCTTCCCACTCTTCGGGGAGATGACCACATAGTTGTTCATAATCATACTATCATCGGTCGTGTCTGATGCTAGCTTGGCTCCGGCAAACCTCTTGAAAAACAGCACTGTGGCGAGTCTCATCTCCATCATTGCAAGATGCTGGCCGATACAAGTGCGACTGCCAGCACCAAAAGGCCACCAAGCAGTTCGAGCATCCGGCGAAAGAGTCGCTGAGCCGTCGGGAAGCCAACGTCGGAAGTCGAACCTGATCATCAAGTCAGTGGGGTGTACGATTGATGAGATCGAGTGGTCAGCATACTTCTCTGGGTCGGGAAAAATGGCGGAATCTCGATGTGACACCCACGGCGTAGTGTTGACGACTGTGCCCTCTGGCAGGAACTGTCGTTCAAGAGTGACGCCACCTTTTGGCACGACTCGAGGTTCAGGCATGGGAATGGCAGCATAGAGTCGAAGGGTTTCCTTGATAACAGCGTTCAGGACAGGCAGTTTCTCCAGCTCGGCATCGCTGGCCCCGCTGTCTATTTTCGCGAGCTCTTGCTGCAGCTCATTCTGCACTTCCGGTCGCTTAAGCACAGCCCAGATCAGGTAAGTCAGTGATTCCGAGGTGGTCTCACTGCCAGCGATGATGAAAGAGCCGGCCTCGACGGTGACTTGCATGGGCGTGAGAGCCTCATCGTCCTCTTCAGCTTTGGCCAGGATTCCGGAGAAAATGTTCTTATTGGACGCATTGCTGAGACTGTTCCTGTACGCGATCGAGGAGATGTCGAGTAGAGATTTCCAAGCGTTGAAGAAGTCTGTTAACGCTGACAAAGGTATCCAGCTCAAAGCTGAATAGACCAGAGGCAAATGGTATGATAGCAGAGACGCCAAGTTCGAGGAGCGAACTTCGTGGAAGAAGGCATGCATCTGATCGTGGTCAGTCTCATCTGTTGGTGTAATAATGCGGAACAGCACACCTTTTGCGTCTCAAGCCCGCCGAGCGACTCCCCAAACATCAGCTCGCTTATGACGTCGCTGGCCAGGAAAGTCAACCATCGTCGCACGTCACATACACCCCGTGCGTCTCGAGCGTCTTGAGCAATACCTTCCACAGCTTTGGCTGTCTTGTTTCGAACCATATCCTCCCATTCAGCTCTTAAATACGCAGCTGTGAACCCACGGGCGAACAGTTTCCTTGTCATGGCATGCTTATGGGGATCGTTCTGTTGGAACAGTCCTGCAGGCGGGTAGTTCTTCTCGGTCGGTCCAATGTATTCGTACCAAGGCGACTTCACGAACCCGCCACCAATTTTGTTCACTACTTTGAAGGACGCCAGAGAAGAGACGGCGACCTCATTCGGAGCAATGCGAACAATTGATCCATACTTGCGGTGGAGCTCTTCCACAGTCTGTGCTTGTTGCAGGCATACCGCTGACTTGTAAAAGAGCGGAAGATCCGAGAGTCTAGCCCACCATGGTCCTGGAATCCCGTTCAAAGGCGATGTGAAGAATCTTCGCAGTAACTGAGATCATGTCAGTCTCATGGAAGTCCAGAGTTACCAGTTTCGTCTGCATACCAAGATCAAAAGCGCAATGATGAAGAACGAGGCCGCCGCTGTCAGCGTGGGCGCGAGGGATGTGCTTGGAAGCATGTTGACATTCAAATTATCGTCGTGACTGAAAACTCAAGTGCAGCTTACAAAGTCTTCGAGGACGCTCTCGGCAGTGAGCGTTGCCCACGTATTCATCTTATACCCTCAAGGGCCTCTGCATTCCACGCGGACATCGGACGGTTCGCGCTACACGCTGCTGGAACTCGCTCTGTGCAAAGGCGGACGTGACGAAGTAACAGCCCCGCAGAAGTCAAGATGACGGCTGAATATACGACACCTTGGGCATCGGAATGCAGACCATGACATGACGGCACAAGGCGGGACTTGTATCATTGGACACGACCCTGGGTCTTCTCACAGAACAGCAACGCGTGTCCACTCCCGAAGACTTTTACGATGTATGATGGGATCCCAGGAGAGCCAGTTCTCCCTTCAGCGCTATTCTGCTAGTGGGTACGAACAGAGAATGCATTGTGCCATTGCACCAATCATGTTATCTCTTGAGCTGAGTCCCGGTACTTCAGTGGGTTACAAAGGGAGCGATCGTATTCGGCAATCGTAGTATTGCTCGCATAATGACTCGTTCCCATTTGCTTGAACGACGGAATGCCTGAAGTGCTGAGGGCTTTCTGACTGGGACTTGGCCAGTCAAGATCCAGCACTCACAGGTAGCATGAGCATATTCTTGGTACATGCAGCCGAGGTGTAGAGGCAGCGCCGCTTGATCGCTAGCGTACCTTCGTTACAGTCAGACTGAGATCTGTCGTCGTAGGAGCTCGCTTCCCTGTCGACAATCGTTCTCGGCAGAATGATCCAAGATCCTCGTCAAGACGATGAGGATGACGCGCTCGATGCGCAAGCTTTGGAGATCGTGAGATGGCATTTGGCGCTGTGCCGTTGGTGAGGTTGCAAAATGCAGGGTCGGAAATCGCCCGAGTGAGAAAGAATCTCCCGACGCCAAGAATCGCCCGGGCAGCGTCCTGCAATCGCAAAGCAGACTGAGCGACCAACCTTGGTAATTCGGCTGTGTCGTTGCTCAAAGAAGTTTGCACGGAGCGCAGTTTCGCATAGCCCGTCTTCTTGGGATGTTTCGGATGCCCAGATGCCGACGGCATAACGATCGAGCGACCTTGCGAGCGAGATCCGGCTGCGAATCCGGTGGACCGGACAAGGAGCAATAAGAGCGTGCCTAAAGGGCATTTGATGCCGGGTCCTGATTCCTTCCATCACAGGATCCTGTGTGCGTGTGGAGCCCAGCTCTGTTCATCCTTCTGCGCAAGTGCAATCCCTAGCCAGACGAATCAGATTCCGAGCCGGACGAACATCTTCAGCACTAGACTTCGCCGCTTGTGCCATTGTTGTACCACATCTCCTTCAACCAACATCGTCCTCAGTGATACTGATAGCCGGAAGCTCGACATTTCCCAATCTCTTGCCAAAATGCCGCACGAACTGCTCCGCCACAGCACCAACATCCCACTCCTCTTGCCCAGTATGCTCCCGCAAGCTCGTTGTCCTCTTTCCTTCCAACCCACACGCGACAACGCGCTCGAACCAACCAAGTTCCGTATCCAAGTTCAAACCAATGCCATGGCTACTGATATGCCGCCGCAAATGCACGCCCGCAGCACATATCTTCTCCTCGTCATTGACCCAGACACCAGGATGCTCTGTTGTCCTCGTTTGCACACCATACTCTTTACAGGCATCCATGACAGTGTTTTCTAGCAGTCTCACATAGCACCTCGGTGTAAGTCCATGCCGTCGCAGGTCAATAATCGGGTAGGCTACAAGCTGTCCGGGCCCATGAAACGTGGTCTGCCCTCCACGAAGAGCTTCTTGGAAATCGGCTTGGCCCCAAGGAGTCGGCTGCGTCAAGAACTCGCGCTGACTTGCACTGACTGTGCCGATTTCGCGTCGACCGCACGTGTAGACAGGATGAAACTCGGCGGTGAGGATAGTCGGAGGTGGTGCGACGACATGCTTCACGTCTGCTTTGTGCGCGAGAAGTTTGGTGACGAGACGGTGCTGCAGCTCGGCGGCATGTTGGTACGAGACTACATTCGGAAGGTGAAGATGGCGGAGAACAGTCATGGTGAAGAAGACATGGGAGATGTGAATCTTGTGGTTGTGCAAAGCTCCATCTCAGCTGGCTTTGCGGGCCGCGAACCGACAGAATTGAAGAGACATTCAATACAAATCATCAATATTTTCATTGAATTCGATGCACTATCTGATGGAATAACAACATTGACAACGGCACGCTCAAGTACTGCCCTCAACTAAAAGCCGCTACCAATCACAAAGCTAGCATCATTGTTGAAAGAATTCGTAGTATCGTAGTTTTGAGGTCCGCCATTCCTTGCCACATATCCAGCATTGTTGAAGTGGCGGAAGAACCTCGTGGGGTATCCCCAGGCACGGATCGTGTTGCCTTGACCATTGAGTCCAGATTGTCCACAGAAAGTCGAATCCTCTGCGAACTGCTTGCTTCCGTCATTGCCTTGAACTTGAAGCACAAAGTTGAAGTGGCGGAGAAAGCTTCCAGGTGAGTCGACGGATTCGAACGAAAAGCAGCCAGTGGCCTGGCTTGCAAGTGGTGCTCGTACAGTCCACTTCGCTGCGTTCTGCGCAGCAGTACTGCTCGATGAAGTCACGACTTGAGTGTTGACAGTGGAGCCGCTGTGCGAGAGGTAGCGAGTATTGTAGCCTGGCGTGGTAGCACGGATGGTGATGGTAGAGCCAGAGTTGAAGGCTGGTCCACTGCTCAAGGAAGTAGTTGTGTACTTAGCCGCCACGATGTTGGCTTGCACTGCATTCTCAGTGGCATCGCTTGGGAACCCAGAAGTCATCACGCCCTCGTAGAAGGTACCTTGGGCACCATTGCTGTTATCGCCACCAATGCCGAGGAGGATCGATCCTTCCTTGCTCATGGGGTTGTAGCCGTCAGCGTTGGGTCGCTTTCCATTGTAGTACGTCGACAGTCCTCCCGAAGCGGCGTTGGCTCCCCGCAGTGCCCATTGGTTGGGCTGACCCTTGACAATAGAAGTGAAAAACCGATCGGTGATGGTAGGATCTGCCGGGTTATTCTTGATGTTTGCGCCTGAGAAGAGTCCATTTTCAAGATCTGCCATGAGCCATGGACCGGGCCCAGCACCAGTGCCCCAAATGGTATTGGTACCATAATAGATCGCCTCCATGTGGCCATTGCCAGTGTCGAGGTTGCTGGTTTCGGCATTACCATAATCGAAGCAACAGGCATCATTGTAATGCGTACCATCGAGGACGGCGTACATGCCTTCAGGCTGATCACCAGTGGCAACCCCGCTGCCCTGTTTGATTCTGTATCCAGTTCCCGGGTGCACGAAAACACCGTATACTTTCTTTCCGTTGAGCGTCACTGGCGCACCAATTGCGCTTGCGAGTTGATCGAAGCCCCCGGCTTCTGTACCACTTGCGGCACCTCCTGGAGGAGCCTGTGTAAGGTGGTTGCTGCGGCCTGACTGATCGTACAAGATGGTGATGAGGCAGGTTGTGTTGGCACAGAAGCTGTCTTGCGCGCCTGAGTTCGCTACGCCACCAGCAGAGACAGGCAAGATATCAGTGGTCTTGCCATCAGAGGCACGCGAAATTTGGTAGAGAGGGCCATTGTAAGAGTTGTAGAGTGCTCTCGTGGTGCTGTGTGCAGCAACACATGGAGTATTTCCTGAGGCGTAGATGTCGCAAGGTCCAGCGTGCACAAGAGCACCTGTTGCGGCAAGGCTGAGTGCCAGCTTCATGTTGGGTCGAGACAGCATGGTCGTAGTGGAGGAAAGGTCTCGAATGGCTGGAATATGGCTATGTGTGGCCCCTTTACGACACGTCGGGCCTCTTTATTTATCGTCATGGTCAAGTAAGGACAAGCCTTCCATGCTCCTCTGTCTGCAAGCTCCGGAGAATTTGTCACACGTCTGCCGTCTCTGTCAGTTGTGAGCACGCATACAGGTGCGGTCGCCCAATGCGTCTGTTAGCGATCGTGCATGTGGAGTATCGCGGGGCGCGTGACACATTTCTGGTCAATCCGCGAGAAACAGCACATGGCAATATAACCAAGCTTTGACTTTGCATGTTAAGAGATGCGCAAGCTCGTGGTCGTGTCAGCAAGCACCACCAAGATCGCAAAGACATATCTTGGCCGGTAGCTCGAAGCTGCATCTCGTTGGAGGAAGAACGCCGATCTGTCTGGGGAAGCCATGTTAGCAGCTTTAGGTTCTGCAGCCCGTGGGGCTCCAGTTTGCGGATGCGAGTTACAAATCCCGTCGGCGTTGTTTGATGAAGGACAGAAGCGTCGTTCGCGTGACACTTTTCCAAAAGTCGCTTGAACAACTACGCGAGCTGCGGATCGGGCAAATCGATTCCACCAATACATCGGCGCAGTTCGCTGGTGCACGTCGAGCTCCCCACTGAACCTTTCGGAGGTATAGAGATCGGCTGATCTATGAATGCTCGCGTGGTGGAATGAAGATGTACAGATTCCATATACAACCCATGCAGTCTGCTGGACATCAGCGCCTCAGGAGATGATTGTTCCGTGTGCTCTTGTTCGCTTTTGCAGGTCGGGAGGACGCGCCAGAAGCAGTCTCGGCCGGCTTGAAAACGCTGATCCCGCCGAATGCGCATGATCATCGAAGTGCGAGTGCGGCCGCCAGAAGCGGCGCAAGGGCGATGTCGGCGTGTGCTTCGATACACACTGGATGAGCGCAGGCCGTCAGCAATGTCGCTGCTGTCCTTCAAGTAGAGATGACAGGTGAGAGGGCCAGAGAGAGAAAGAGGTGAGATGGATGAGGAAGGATGCCTGGATGCCTGCATCATGTTAGGGTTCATCCCGCTGGGCTTGGCAGCGATAATCGTAAGGCTTCGCTCTCTTGACTTGACCGGCTTCAGCAACGCGTCGAACAGCATGTAACACCACCACGATGGCGGAAAAGGTGCTCACCGGTCGCATCAACAAGCGCTCGCGTCGTCGCAATGCTGGCCAAAAGCTGCCAACCCTTCCGCCAGACGCTCGAGTCACCAAGCGCCCTTTGCTGCACCCAGCACTTCCTTCTCCATACGCCGGATCGACGCAGCAGAAGGTCATCTACGTGTCGAACAAGACGCCATTCATGTCCGCTGTCAAGCGCGTCGAGAAACTCCTTCACCTCAGCGACAAGCGATTAGTCCAATCAGCGACCCAACGCAGCAAGGACGCGCAGAAGACGAGACGCAGATCAGAGCGCGAGGCAGACGATATTCTGAGCATCGCCAAAGAGCTGGAGAATGCGAAGAGCAACGTCAACGAGCGTGAACAAGTCGTCTTGAAGGGCACGGGAAAGGCCATCAGCAAAGTCATGGAGCTTGGTTTATGGTTCCAGCAGAGGGACGAATACCAAACCACTTTGCGGACAGGTACTGTCGGCGCCATAGACGATGTGCACTACCAGCAAGACGAGAAGGAGGCAGACGTTGATGCGAATGGCTGCGAATCTGCACAAAAGGAGGCCGAAGACAGCGTGAAAGCATCAACACGACCGACATCCAGAGTCGTCAAGCACGAGGAGCGCGTGAATGAGGATGGCAAAACGGAAGTGGAAGAGACGCGCATCCGCCAGCTGAGTGTTCTCGAATTACGCGTGAGCCTGCGGTAATCATTACTGAATGGTCATGCGCTGGACTCGGATTCCCGTTACTCCCAGAGACCTGGTGAGCACTTGCTGGAACTCATATTCTCGTCGGGCTTTTATATTTCATTCGCCGCCAAATTTGTGCCCTCCCAAAAAGTCATGAGCGATTTTGAGGCTTTCTTGCGCTGACTGATGCAGATGCAGTGCGTGTCCAGTTCGCGGTATGCTTTTCCAGCTGTACTCTGCGTTGGGGAACAGCTCACCCGATTTTCTGAGCAAATGACCGCATGCAGGCTTGGGGTCGATCGCAGAACTGCCCGGCCCGCAAAATGCTTGATCTTGTTCACCAGTGAGTACGAGGACTCGTCCTCGAAATGCCGGTGCCGGCTTGGTGTCAACGTACACGCTGGATATCGTCAGCTGCTGCCTTTCCCGTAAATGGAGACAGGTCAATGCATATTTACCTTACAAACTGTCCCGCGGACACCACGTCTTTTCTCTGGAAGAAGAGATGTGCAACCTCCGGCTCAAAGTCTACCACGTTGGGATCTCCAAAAAATGACTCGGTCCTGGTCGTCTCATTTGGGGTCGTCATGTATCCTTGTGCAAGATCTCCAAACGACTTTGCATCGACCTGGCTGGCTGGCTGGGCTCCCAATGCGGTCACTCCGGGCAGAGAAGGCAACACTGACTTGGACCAACCAGTCAATATCATCTCTTGAAAGTCGTCTGGATACACTGCAGCAAGCAGATTTCCGATTTCCGATCCGTATGAGCAGCCCACGTATACCAAGTGTTGGAACGTCTTCGCCAGTGGGTTCTTCTCGTCAGTCTTGATTTGTTTGACAAGATCATGATACAATTCGACCTCGTATGGGCTCTGGGTTTCACTTGCAGGATTCGGATGCGAACTCTTTCCGGTACCCAGATGATCAATCGCCAGCGTCGCATACCCCATCCTGTTGGCGTAGTCAACCCAGGAATATAACTCTGGCTTGTATGGCTTGTTGGGAGGTGTCGTCAATCCTGTTCCTCCAAGAGCGGTCCAGTATTCGCGATTGGCCGTGATAGGCGCGTTCAAAATTTGCAGTTTTCCCTCGTTGCAATTCCCCTCGGTCGGCTCGCAGTACCATCCGGCGACTTGTTGCGAGCCCGACACTTCGAATGTCTCGAAATCATTGGCCTTGAACGTAGCTGTGAGAGCTTCAAGGTCCGTGAAGGGCACAGTGCTAATGTTACGATTGTGCGCAGTGCCCGAGACTGTAAAGACTACCTCTCTGCAAGAAGAGCGCCGTACCAAACCCGACATCGCCGAACGGGCGAGGAGCAGCAGTGCGACCAATTGGAGTTCCATCGACTTCGTGGACCAGTTGTGTTATTGGGCCGGTACCGCAAGACTAGGGACGTCGACTCCGCGCGCTATATACAGCTGTGCTGGCTGTCAGTGAAGACGGGCCGGGTCTGTTGAGGCACCGAAAAGCCTGCTGGTGCACCTCGTTGCGCTGTTAATGTCCAATCTTCCCCTCCTTTGTGGCGGCGGTAAGTGTTGTTGCTGCGGCGCTGCCGATCTCATATGCTGCCTTGCTCTGGGAGCCAGAGAATCGCTCATCACAATGCACTGGCTCCAGCCGCATATTGGGCACCTCAGGAGCAAGCTCTCCCCTGCCCATTCCAGCACGTGCTCGGAATGGCGAGTTCGCGACGCCTGCTCTCCCTCGAGCTCCGGACCTGCTCTTATATCCGTGTGCCACCGAAGAAGCTGAGAATAATTGCTTTGCTGACATCAAATGCTGTGGCATTCCCAGTCTCGCCTGTCGCAATCAGTTCTCTGCTGATGAGGGCAGCGAGCTTGTGGTGTGAAGTTGACATAAAATATGCTTCAGCGACAGCAAGGATATCTGGTCTTGGAAAAGCCAATCTTACATCCAACGTACTAACAAGGCAAGAACGAAGATTAAAGTCCTGCCAACACAGACCTTAAGCTGGAACAACGCATGAACTTTGATCGACACTGCCGTGAATTGGCAGCATCAGCCGGCCTTCGAAGCAGGGCATATCTTCTGCCAGCTGAGCAGAATTGCCACTCGCCGCCAGATGGCCCAACGATGCAACGGCATTTTGTTCTCGATTGCTATGAAGGAAAATTCGGCATCTCGCGCGATTCGGCAAACGCACGTTCTGCACATCTCCCGTCTGCTCTCTACACGACTTCATACGTTGACTATCTGACACTTGGTCGTCTCAGTCCAGCATCACACCACAAGTTCCTGCCCACAGACGCCTTCGATCCCGCCTCGTTCGGTGATCAGGCCCGAGTCCCATCCACAAGGTCGAGCACCTGATGATCATCCACAATTCACCTGTATCAACGCCACCTACAGTACAACTCCCGACATACATTCCCTCCATTGACCGCAATGGCCCACCACCAGAATTGCTGCCAAAAGGGCAGCTGGAAAGGATTGATTGTGTGGCCAAGGTACCATTCAGCTGCCTTCAACTCGGCGAGCTGGCATATGACATGTCCCAGGGCCCACACTAAGAACAGATGCAAATATCCTGGAGACCTAGCAGGAAGTGCTGTGCTAGTTTCGGTCTTCTGGCCATCTGAGCTCATTAGTCAGCTGCGTGGTGTTGTCGACATCGAGCTGTACTGACCGAGACCATCTTCTGGACGACGATTCTGCCGCTTGCTCATTTTTGGGGGATGAGTTGGAGATACTCGATGAAGTGTTGTGCGTCTGCTACTGATAACTACGTCGCGAGGTTGGCTTTTATTTATGGGGCGTGGGGCTAGCGGCGCTACTGTGCTGTGCCACAGACAATCCCTGCTCCTACACACGAATCACACTGAACTTCTGCCGCGCGAAGGAACCACCTCCTGGCATAGTCGCCGTCCACAAATCAAGGGAGCGGTTCTGACGTACGTATTGGATTTGCGAGCTGATGAAGGACACTAACTTGAGACATGCCAACAGCACACAACACACGCAGACTAAACCTCGGAGTCGCTTCCGGATGGCCGGGAAATCATGTATATGGCACAAGTCAGATGCTGGTGGCGCAGAAGACCACAAATACTAACATTCAATCGATATCTATTCGCTCATGACGTGCATCGCTCATGGTTGACGACCTCTTCCCGACTACCAACATCATCACCCCGACCCGTACCACATTGTACCATTTTCATTCAAGCAGCAGCAATTTCGAGGCCGATCTCGACTTCCGCGTTTTTGCCATCAAACCCAGCAGTGGCAGGCTGCTCGCCCTCGTTCCCTATCTCTCGTCAGAGTCGTGCAGCCACATATGTCTTGCAGTTTATTGCACATACCTGTCGCCGGCTGAGAGCACGCTTCATTCAGCCCGATGCTCCCCGCCACGGTGCAAGCAGACACCGTAGCCCATTTCAAATTGTACCACGTGTAGCGAAAGATCGCAACAACGGCCCTGTTGTTTACGTCCGGAACATTGCGTCGTACAATCTGGGTCTTGCCAAGAAGGGCGCCGCCATCGACCAAATACTGGCAGACTCCTCCCAGGGCCAGTCCCGCTGTTGTTGAGTACACCTGTAGGAGCGTTGTCAGCCATCGATGCAACTTCAACGATCGCACTCGCTTACCTTAGGGTTCTTGTTGAAGTTCGTGCAAAAGAAGTCCGGAGGATCTTCAGAGTTTTGGCGAGTGGTCAAGTTGGTCATGATGAGAACAGATTCATCAATGCCAGCGCGCTTCGCCAGCTCAAAACGCATCGCATTCCACTCATCAGTGTCGAACTGATAGTGTGACTGGAATACTTCGCCACTGTCGTTGCGCCACTCCTCAACGGGGACCGTCGCTGGATGACCGGCGTCGCTGAAAGCTTGGAAAACGCTGTGGTCGTTGATCACAGCGTGCACGGCGTCTTGGCTGCGACGAAGCAAAAAGTCCGCTTGGAGCGTAGAGGCGTGCAAAGATGGCACAAAGGTTGCCATTGCGGCGGCGATGAGGAGTCTTGACAACATGTTGCAGTGAGCAGAGGATGTAGTGGTTCGAGGGTAAGTCAGAGAGGTTGCGATGTAGGATGAACAACTGGAAGACCGACTGGACCTGGCCACTTTATCATGCTCAACGCTCACTCACCGCGACACAAGATACTGGGGCACTGCCTCCAGGCCGACGATGCTCCTCCGGTACCAACACCTCTATCCGCGCGGAGCCCAAGCAGACAGTGGCGAATCATTGCGATGCATGCTTACTTCCAACAGCTTTCATGCACAATCTCCAGGCAGGTCACCATGATCCGATATATCGCCTGCCCGACCTCGCCGATCGTTGTTGGCATCAGAACGCTTATCCAAGTATCTGCGACGTCACTCATTCCGGCGCAGTCGTATTCGTGATTCGATGGGTGGGGGTTGATGCGGCGAAGGAACATGTGTGATGCAGGGAACATTGCTCTAAGTGGATCACCAACAAGATATGCGGCGTCTCTGAGACATTTCGTTGTGAGCGATACTATCCTGAGAGCTCACGATGGATACGCTATTCCTTCCGGCCTCACGCAGGGTGTCGAGCCGCGGCCCCGACCACTCTTCGAAGCCGGGAATGAGGAGGACTCCAAAGGTCGAGGCACGAGAACGAGGATGATTGAGATCAAATACAAGCCTGGCAGAAGAACGCGAGGAACAGTCTAAGGGCGCACGGTGATTAAAGAAGCGGCCGACTCATGCGCAACATCTGTTTCCGGTCACAAGGGCATAACATTGTTCCGAAATGATTGATCGAGCTATGATAACGAACGTCCTATGTCAAACCCGCCAATGCGCGCGGTCCGAACGCCATGCAACAGACCCGCTTCCTTCCCCGACCTTCCATTTTCAGCAAGAAGGCTGAGTGTCGATCTAGTCACTCAAATCTATGCCTGGCAAGTGAGTTGTCCAGCAAGGCTGACGCAATCTGGAAAGCTTCAGCATGAGTCCAGTCGCGCACCTCTTGATCATGACTTACGACCACTGACGACATCAGAGTTGTCGCTAACGCCACCGTAATATTTGCAGCTCGAGCCAGCTTTGTGACGACAGTTGTTGGGACAGTTGCCTAAACATAACGATGTCAATTGGAGGCGTATGCGACTGGTGTATTTCAGGTCTCACAAGCTGCGTCTGGGAAGTGTCAGCTTAAAGTTTCTTTCGGTGCTCAGCGCAGAAGTGACGAACAAGAGTTGGTTGCAATCCTTCGAGTGAGAGTATTACGATCGATAATTGAGGCTTCTGGGTCGGGAATGGCAGCAGCGAGGGCGAGGCTGCTTCCCAAAGCCAGGATGGCGACTGCGTGGATGTTGAAAATCATTTTGAGGTGAATGGAAAGTGTCGGTGTGTGATGAATGGGTAGACTGAGAAGATGTGTGTCGATGCTGATACAAAAGATTGGAAGTGCACTGCTCGTCGCATTTATACACCGCGCCAATGATGCAGCTGTTAGGTCTCAGGACTTCCGGCATCACCGCGAATCTCTGGGCTTTCGACGAACATCAGCTGTGCCATACCAACAACAGAATGCTGGCAAGTCAGTCGACCATGAGAGCTGCACAGCCTTCCATGAGAGCAGCGAAGGATGAAAATGCATGGTCCGCTGTACAGGCAACATTCAAGACGATTGTGACATTCAAGGATCTTCTGCTCATGTCTCAGGATCCAACATCTTCTGCTGTTGTGCCGCAAAGCTCACCGTCGCCCCCTAGACGTTGAGTCGTCGAGTTGCAAGCGCTGGACTCCACATTGGAACTGTGGGGACATTCCAAGCATGACGAATGTTTCATGGTTAACAACTTTAGAACACACTTGCCTGAAGCGTACTGCATCTATGAGGCACGCCGCAGACATGTTAGTTGTGCGATGTTCACCCGGATCCTTCATGGTGGCGCAGAGACCCACTAGACTAAGTCTTGGCAGTAGCCTAAGGCTTCCAAAGACGCAGACACTACTGTGCCTCAAGCAGCTCTGTATATCTTGCGCCGTGATTTGACAACTTGAATCTGTTGGCGGTCGAGCAACAGTCGCTTCAGATACGCTAGCAACCGGTGAGTTGCTTTGGCGGCAGTGCCGCTTCCCTGACGAGAATACCACAGCCAGGGGCCCCTTGAGGTGATGAGGTTCATTCGCAGTATTTCTGTCATGAGGGCCATCCTTCGGTTCGGTGTTGGCATATCTAGACTTGAAGAGTATCCGCACGTGTTGGTCGCACGGGAGTTCATAGGCAGGGCTAAATCTCGGACAGCACATCACATTACAAGTCTCGTGCCAGTTTGCTGTGATGCCAATTCTATGAGTCGATCTTGGATGTTGGAAGCGGACACAGCTCGTTGTTGGAGGCTCGTCATGTCACGGATCAGGATCTATCCTAGTGCTATCGCCATTCCATCATTTGTTTGTGGGCCCTCTTGCTACGCCCGAGTGACAACGATATCATAATAACAACTTCGACCTGATCTTGATCCAACAACAATCATTTCCAGCATAAATTTGCGATCGATGGAGAGAATTTCTTTACTTGGCACGATGCGAGACTCAGCAGACAGTCTCGAACACAACCTCCAGCTTTCCAGCAGCGCTGAGAAACGCTGGAAATTGGAATCACCTCAACTCAGTCCTTCTTGTAAAAGGAGATGGAGGTACGGTCGGATTATCGGCATCGTAATCAGTGTTTGTGCCACATTGGTCTTTGTAAGCTTGTAAGTAAGGAGCTTACATTGCCATTGCCATCGCTGATAGAGCCCAGCGGCATCATGCACCTCGTACTGGTTACCCGCGGTCACGACTCGGTTTCGAGAGCGATATACGCTCAACGAATGCATGCCTGCACGCCAGATCGCGAGGCCTACAGCGTCAACCAGCCTACGGAAAATACAACACCGATTCCGTGCCACTCACACAACGACTACTGGCGAAACAAGCCGCTGTTCGACGCCATTCACGCAGGCTGTACAAGTGTCGAGGCAGACATTTGGCTAGATGAGTCAAACGAGGCGTTACAAGTCGGACATTTTCACAAAGAGCTATCACAGAATCGTACACTTCAGAAGCTGTACATTGAACCTCTTCTTGGTTTGCTCGATCGACAGTAAGTCGAATGCTTCTTTTCCCTCATCTGTTGTGACCCAAGACGCTGACACATAACCAGAAATCCAGCAGATGATAACACAACATCCGGAATATTTCCCATGGCACCAAATCAGACACTCACGCTATTACTCGATTTCAAAACCGATCCATCGGCTCTACTCGCGCATGTCATCGACGAACTTGAATATCTCCGTGAGCAAGGCTTCCTCAGCTATTGCCAAGATGATCGTTTCGTCGAAGGTGCCGTGACTGTGGTCGCGACAGGAGATATACCGCCCAGCCTCTTCTCACAGGATAGTGCTCACAATCGCACAATCTTCACAGACGTACCCTTGGACAAGCTAGAAGATTTCACCACCAGTTTCGAAAACGCGACCAATCCAAAGGTCGGTCCTTGCAGTAGCCACGGAGGCTACTACGCCAGTACATCTTTCCACTCCAGCATCGGTTCCATCACACGGGGCAGCTTGTCATCCGATCAGGTTCAACTGATTCGTAGACAAGTAGCGGCAGCGCAAAGAGCTGGACTAAAAGCGAGATACTGGGACACGCCATCCTGGCCGACTTCTTTGCGGAACTATGTTTGGCAAACTTTGATCGACGAAGGGGTCGATGTGTTGAATGTGGATGACTTGTGCTATGCGGCGTTTCTTGATTGGGAGGCAGTTCCACATAAGTTGATCGATGGTTAGGCACGACGATGCATAGGCAGGAACATCTGCACCCGCTTCCCTGCACACATTCGAATTGATATGGCTCAAAAAGCTATAGCATAGCTATATGCAAGCAGGCAGATTATGCCACAAGTCAACGTCAATCGAGCAGGCTTGATTCAATTTCGGCGTCTTATCTTGTCAATGGCAGTAGGAACAAACAAGTTGACCATTCTCATGTATGCCGACAAGGCCAGAGTCTCAACTGAAGAATTGCAGCGTTGTAGCGCAGACAGATCGTAGTCATAACGCACTAAGCAAATCAGATCGTACTGACATGCATACCCTCAGCCGTTTATCGTGACTGTGAGATCATCGAATGTGACCTGTGGCGCGGCAGGTTGAATTGGGAAAGGCGCCGAGCAGAAGAATCGTCCAATAAACTGAGAGCCGTCGTATTCCAAAGTCTTCCGGGCATCCACATCGAATGATGATGTAGTGTTGACATTGGGCGAATTCCAAACTGTCGTCGAACCAACCGCGAAACTTACAGTACAGCTGGTAAAAATGTCCCCTGGAAACTTGACCGTGGCTTTTCCATTCACACGAGCCGTTTGGCCGATTTCAAATGCTTGAAGGTTGCGTTGGATGATTCCGAAGTTCTGAGTAGTTGTCCGAGATGTGAATGGAGGGAGACATTTGCGCGACAGCAGCGCCGTCTACAAGCTTCAAAGTTTGATTGGTGCCGAGAGAAGGCTAGGCTGCCCATGGTTCAAGACTTGTTCCGCTAAAGTCGCCGTTCTTCAGAATCTGTATGGGCTCGAACTCAGTCGGGCTAGAGCCGACTGCTGCTGCAATTGTCGATATTCTGATGTTGTCGATAGCTATGGTGACTGGCGGTCTCCCTACACCGCCACAGTTGCCGCCAATAGAGAATTCTCTGCGTCCATTCGCAGTCATCTTGCCATTGGTCACGACAGTCCTCTTGATTGTTTGTCCATTTGTAGGCTTACCCAGGATCACATACGGATCACTCAGGCCCAAGCCATCGAAGTACGCTGCGCATTCCCAGCTGGAACCCGTGGCAGCGGCGTGAGCTGTTATGTCCACGTCGGCGCTGAAAGTCCAGGATGCGCCAACGTCGAGGATTAGAGTCGATCGCAGATAGTGGTAGAGAGTGTACTGGCATAGCGGCAGGTACAGCGATCTGCGAAAAGTCAGTAACATTATTGGACTGTCAAGGGAAAGCGGAACTTACGCCATTCCATTGGCGTTCGACCAGGGAATGTCCCCACATATGGTGTTCGGTCCAAAGCTGTCCAGCCATTCAACCCACTGGAAAAATCGCCATTGGTGAGGGTATCTGAGGAACCTGCGCCTGTAGAGCCTGTCTGGCGCAGCGCAATATAGACAATGGCGCTACCAGGGTTTCGGATGGTCGAAACTCCTGACTTGAGCTCGCACATCTTGGTGCCCGGGACCCATCGAGCGGCGAGACAATTTACGCCCTCATTGACACATCGATCGATGCAGCTCTCGAAGTTGTCCGCGGGAGAGATGGGAATGCCTGGCATCTTGTTGCCTCTCATGTCAGATTGACAAGTTAGGGTAAATCGAGCCCCATCGCGGGCTGTGTAGACAGTTCCATCTGAGGAGCAATTTGCGACTGGAGCCGGTGACACACGGATTGTCTGGGTGACTGTGATGGCCGATGTGGGTGTCACTGTCCGAAGTGGCGTGATAGTTGTCGCCGGAGTCACAAGAACTGTTTGCAAAGATGTCGTTGTGCTGGTGATTGTGACGTAGACAGTTGGGGTGGTATAGACTGTCGACTCTGGAACCACTGTCGAGAGCGGAGTGGCAAAGACTGTCGGAGTGTATGTGCTTGATGGCGTGACGAAGATCGTCGGTGTCGTGTGCGCAGTAGCTTCAGGCACAGTGGTAAATAGCGGCGTGATGAAGGCGGATGGCGTGCGAGTCGTGAGAGCCGTGACAGTCACAGTTGGAGTGACATTTTCCGTGTGAAGCGGTGTTTCGTGTGCTGTCGCTGTGACGAGGACTGTCGGTGTCGACGTAAGTTTTGGAGTCACGTACACAGTCGGAGTCGTGTGGACAGTCGTCAAAGGAATGCTCGTGGAGAGAGGGGTCTGGTACACGGTCGGAGTGAATGTACTGGTAGGGGTGATGATTACAGTAGGCGTTGTGTATGCAGTCGATGTTGGAGTTACCGTCTCGCGAGGTGTGACAACCACGGAGGGGTTCTAATGATTGGTTGCCTTAGGTGTGTTCGTGCTTGTCGGAGTCACGACGATCACCGGTGTTGTGGTCACTGTTGCGGCAACGTTAGAAGTCTAATGAAGGTCAGCATTATGCATCAATGAGCGTGCTATGAGCTCCGTACCCGAGTGATGGTTGTGATCGGCTTGGTAGTGGTAGTCTGAGTGATCGTTGGTGTTGGAATATTGAAGCAACGACATGCCGAGGAGATGGCTGTTGCAGCGACTGTTGCTAGAGCTCGGAGCGCCGAGGGAAGAGTTGGTGTTGCTGATACTGTCGAACTACTTTTGACTTGTCGCTTATGGAAATTGACAGTGGTAACAGTGGTCTTCTGTGTCCGGGTGGGCGTGATTGCCTCGGCAGAGACGACAGAAGTTGCGGCAGTGAAAGTGACGGCGTCACCAGTCACGGTCACGAAGCTCGTGTCTGCGGTCTGTACGAGCGTTCCATTAGTGAGCGAGGCAGGATCGGCGGTAAGCTACAAAATGTTAGCTTGACGGAGCAATCTGATCCCATTAGCAGCCTTACTGTGATGGTTCTCGTTTCAGCAGTGATGACTAGAGTCTCCAGCGTGCTGGTAGTCGGCTCTGCAGTTATCTGTGAGCAAACGTTAGCTGATCCACGGACCTGTGTCTTTGGTATAGGCTTGCCGTGGTTGTTCCTTCCGTCACCAAAGCAGCCTCCGCGGTGATCTATCGAGATTTAGCTTGGTGTTCTGCTGAACAAGACGGACAACGTACCGTCACCGTTGTCGGCTCTGCAATTATGACCCGTGTAGGCTCCGTGATGGTGACCTCGTCGGCAGTAATGGTGAGAGTACCATCAGTGAAGGTGGCAGCGTCCGCGATCAGCGTAATGCTACTCATAGGGGCCGCAACAGTCTGGGTAGCAGCAGTCACGGTGACTGGTGCATCGGTAATGGTAGTCGTCTGTGAATCGTCGGTGAACGCTGCAGCAGTGATGGTGCTGGTGACAGTGTCGGCAACAAAGACTTTCGTGGCAGCCGTGGACGTCACTGGTGCGTTTGTAATGGTTATGGTCAGTGTACCAGTCTGGTTTACTGCGGGTGCTGTGAGCTGGAGGCAGTCAGTATTTCTTCTATCCTTTTTTCCGCATCTTTGGCCTTACAGTTATCGTGGTAGCCTGTGCCGTGACCACAACTGGACGCGTCGTGATAGTCACAGGACTCGCCGTCACGGTTGTGGTTTGTGTAGCACCCTGCACGACCACTGCTGACGCGGTAGACGTGGAGACAGCAGCTGTGACTGTGCGCGTAGTGTTGGTCGAAGTGATTGTCGTGGTAGTACTCTGGAGCGAAGTCACAGTCGAGGTTGATGTCTTGGTCGCAATGCCTAGCCATGACGAGCAAAATGGCGTTGAGGATGGGAAGCCCGTGATGACCCGAATCACTGGCGCAACTGGCGAGCATGTCCCTGACAGGACTGGTGCTGCGAAAGCCTGAGCAACGAATCGCAGCGGCAGCAGCGCTTGCAAGATCATGTTGAGCAACATCGTGATGATCGACTGGGGCTCAACAGCTGCTGTGCTGACTGCAGAAATCACCTTCTTGTTATACGGCAGTCCTCAGCACAACTCTGCGAGACTTGCAAGTTGCGCCTCACGGGATAGAGCAGTGGTGTGAGATCTGCCACAAAAGCCATCAAGGCATACTGCAATTGGGTAGCGAAGCAGAGTGCTGTAGGGCCCGCTGTACAATAGCAATAGGCTTTGGCACTCGGAATCTGCAAGCAATGAGAAGCTATGAGTAGCAGCCATGGCGTCTGGCTGGCTAATCAAAGAAGGAGGAATGTAGGGTCCATCTAGGCCCGCGCGATGCCACACGGCCATAGTAAGCCCTAGTGACTGCCTGCGTGTAACACGCTGGCTGTAGTATGTATCAAAAACTAGTCTGGCGTATGCGACGATGCTCTGCCGCAGTGCAGGTGAAGTCTGACCGAATTCTCGGCGAAAGAAATGGCAGAGGACCTTTGCTGGCATCGAATGTTTCTGCCGAGTTTCGCGGGAGTACAGAATCAACCGCTATGATTCTGCAACATCGAAAGTTCGTGAGCTTCTCTTCCGAGCATCTGGACCAAGGTGACCATCTAGCCCATGCACAGTCCAGCGCGGTCGAGTACGAGTACCTCTGAGCCCTTCTCAAGCTCTCTGCCAAGAAAAGCCTCGACGGCTCAAGCCAGCTCGTGGGTAGCACGTGGTGTTGGAGGCTCCGCCTAGTCTTTGGTCACGCCATGTTGTCCATCCTTCGTGGCGGTGAGGCTCCTCGACGGTCGTGGTCCATTGCCTTTTTACGCTCGTTCCCGCTGCGACGGTGCCGCTCCGCCTATAGGATGGTCCGCAATGTAGCATTGACTCGACCGCGCTTGCTGCACGAGATCGAAGCCACATTCGCGTCTATGCAAGGACAACTAGGTCATGTCTTGTATAGTAGACTTCGCTAAACCCGTTTCGACGTCTTGGTGGCCTAGATCAACTGTGGCGGCGATGAGGCGGGCTGAAGTGTAGCACGCGGCTGGCATGGAGGTGAAGCGGATTGGAGTGAAGTGGACGTCGCCAAGCCAGGTCTCGCCTGATGCCTTGGCAGTACATGAGAGATCTGGCTTCTGGCTTGCAACTGCTTGCTTCTCTCCAAGAACCTGCGGTCGGGCTTTTTCCAAGCCACCAGCCACGTTACCGCAACGAGAGCAGCCCCAGATACCGCGAGGCGACGTCTGCTCCTGTGCACGGTGTAGGTGTCTTCCGGCGAAGCCTTCGCGCATTGAAAGGCTTCGAGAAAGTTCTCCATGTCACACCAGACCAGGCTCCTTGTAACTCTGCTTATAGCCATCACTGCCATTCTGCTAGGTCTCCAACTGAAAGAGCCAGGCAGCGCCCTCATGCGATATTTGAGTACATTTCGAACAGCGCCGACGCTGCGCAAGCCGTCCTTCGCGCCATTCGCTGGCCAATCCGCAAGCTTCAACACCTCATTCACCGCCATGGCAGCGCCATCTGCTCCTTCGGCGAAGCCGACTCCAGCCACAGACGCTCCCGTACTGGATGAGAATGGAGCGCCGCTGGGCCTCCCAGCCCCTGCAACCGAAGATGAAGCTACGAAGCTGGACCTGTCGAGTGGTGCCGATACGGTCAAGCTCGACCACCTTGGGCCGCTGGTCGTGAACAAGGACGGGACTCTGTCCAGAATCAGCAATTGGGAAGGGATGACAGAGCAAGAGAAGAAGGCCACCTTACGAATACTGGGAAAGAGGAATCAGCTGCGAACCGACGCGCTCAAGGCAGAGGGGGACAAAGACCAGTCATAGACGTTCGTCGAATGATAAGACGGGTGGCTCACAGTCATGCACGGATGCTCCGGCCGTATTGGGAGTGCGGGGATGTTCAACAGCTTCAAGAATAATGTGCCGCTGGACCTTGAAGCCTTCAGCCTCGAAATTCTAAAACTCGCAGCCGCACCGATCAAGATGACTTGACTTGCGCGGTTCGTTGCTCCACCGGATGCTTGCTCTCATCTACCGACTTTTCATCGGCATCCTCCGCATTGTGCACTCGCTCATTGGCTCTTCGCGCTTGCTCCGCAGCCTGCTTTCTCCAGCTCAACCCTTTGGCCATGATCCAGAATACTGCACCCAAAAGCACAGCATAGATTAGTGCTAGGAACGTGAAAGCCCAGCCTCTGCCCATCGCATTGCACATTGGGATGATTGCTGCGGCACCTGCGGCAGACATCAAACACCGGACGAAATTCACTGCAGCAGTGGCCGTAGCCGGCTTATCCCGATGCAGATCAATCAGCAGGGTGTTGGTGATGCTGAAAGCCGTGCTCACACCGAATCCGATCAAGAAGAGCGCGACTTCTGGGCCAGCCAGGTGAGTCTCAAAGTGCAGGGTCCAGCCGAAAAGGATGATACCGAGCGTGCCCACAATATGAGTTGGCACGACGATTTGCAATCGCACTCGTTCGATCGGAAAATTCGCGAGATCTTGCTGCTTTCCCTTGGAAATGGTCATGTTCAGTCTCCGAGCGTGACGTCGGAAGTTCCAGTCGACAACCTGGCCCATCGTCAAAGTTGAAGCCATCGAACCAGCGCCTTGCGCGATGTAGCAAAGGCCAACATCAAGAGTACTCAAGCCATAGACCTCTGTGAATAATGTTGGAACAGATCCCACCACCATCATCATACCGGTAAAGAAGAACCCGTTGTACAGCAGAATAATACTGCTTTCTTTGTCGAATAGCACTCTCAGCATGAGCAGAGGATTCGGAAAGCTGAGCTTTGGCTTCAAGCCAGCGCCAGAGTTCGTCGACTGATCATCGCGTACTGGCAAATTTTGGCTGTACTTCTTTCTCTGCCAAGTGCCCACCAGCGATTTGTTGATGCCTTGAGCTGGCACTGAGCCATTGCCGACGACATTTTGGCACGTCTCAGGAAAGAATGGAATGAACACCACCAGAAGCGCTCCTGTGAAAATCACGAGGAACCAGAATGTCCAGCGCCACCCCAGGTACTCCGCGAATACTCCGCCAATAGTGGGACCTGCCACGTAGGAATACATGTCAGCAAGCTTGGGAGGACAAGATGAAATTGATCGGGGACATACCAAAGGCAGGACCCAACAAGAGCCCGGCAGTAGCATACGCCATGTATCTGCCGCGCTCGGCGCTCGTCGAGATGTCAGCCACTACAGCAGTGCTCAGAGCGATCGCGGCGCTGCAGCCGAACGCCTGTACCATCCGCAAACACAGCAGCGCAGCATAGCTGGTTTGTAGAGCCAAGCCGATATTTGCAACCATGAAAATGACGAAGCAAATGATGTACGACAACCTTCGGCCATTGCTGTCTGACATGCCCGCTATCAAAGCCGGAGCAATGCCTTGTGCAATCTACTGGTCGTCAGCATATCCCAACGAGCCCGCACGACTGTTACGCTTGGCCTTACCATGTAGGTGGTCAGTGACAGATTGATCAGTGTCGGAGTGACATGCAAGTCACGAGCTAAGGGTTCCAGAGCTGGGAGGAATGTCGTTCCTCCGAAAGGCGAGATCAAGGACGAGATGGACACCGCCACCACGATGAAGATCTTGGCTCGAGGTGTAAAAATGCTGTACGGTGGCCCAGTGACTGTCCGCGCTAGCCCAAGCTCCTGTTCATCTCGACTTCGCCCAGACACACTACCCTCACTGTCGACACCTCGCACCACGTCTGTCGGTATGTCTTCTGCCTGCTCTTTCGCCGCAGCGACGGGATCTTGCTTCATTGCCGTCCTGCCAAGCATCGTCGCCATGCTTGTGGAAACTCAAATAGCGACTCTCAAACGTATCACAGCGAACAGAAAAAGTATTTGCTAAGCGGCGCAGCGGCGCATGAATTTGACCTACATTTGCTCTGTCTCTGATTGCTGCAGTCGATATCGCACGGCGTTTGAGCGGTGTTAACACAAGACACAAACCTATATCGGCCGCGCTAATGCAGCCAGCGTGGGTCTGCCGTCCCGCGTATGCATCATGCAGCCGCTATGATGTTCGGTAATCGTATACAAGCTGTGATAGCTTCGCCGTGTTACCCGTTCTGCTTGGACTTCACTTTGGGAGAATGTGGAGATGAATGATTTTGGCTCGTCATTCGTGATTGGACGTGGAGGGGCTCAATACAGCTTGATGAAGCGCGCACGTCTCACGCAGCTGCAGCGAACAAAGGACGCACTGATTCCAGGTCGCTAGGAGCCATATGGAGTCAACTACAACGTTCGCGCCGAAGCGACAACATCGCAAGATTCTTTCACTCACAGTGCATGGAGAGCCTTCCAGACACCTTCGCAAGTCTGGCCGTGTCATGCTGACCTAAACCGATCATTCGCATGTCTTCTGATATTCCGGGACGTCTTTTGCGTTGAGTAACGATGGACGATCTCAGAGGGTGAGGAAACACATCTCGAACATGTCTCTGGTACATCTCTCGCACGGCATAAAGGTGCTTGGAGACAGTGATTGCTCGGAGGCTGATCAGGGAGCACGTTTCTTGCAACAGGCCACGATGCGTGAGTTGCGCCCATGGGCGGAGGGGTCGAACAGATCACGAAATGGCAAAGGCACTTTGTACTGATATTCGACCGCAGTCCACGCTTTTATGACGATGCGGCCAGGCCAGAAGAAATTGCCATGAAATTACTAATTCTGCTCACTTCAGCGCTCATGCCACCAGTCATTCCAAATCCTGCTACACCGCAAACACAGTGCATAGAGCTTAGTAGGCGGTGTTACGTTGAGCATACGGAACATCACAGCCCGGTCCGGTTCGCACGACATTTGCTTGCATGTGGCTTTCACTGGATTTGCCTAAAAGGGCAAGACTCCAGGCATCGGGAACTCTGCTAGGCATGACGCCCACCGCTTCACCTTCGACCATTGCTTTCGCCATAACATCATGACCTAACACGCCGGATGGCTGCAGAAACCTGTGCGCAGAGTCCGAGCATGGCCGTTACGATGCTGGCTGCACGACATCTTGGCGAACCGGCTCTCGATCCCGTGCTGCATATGGAATTGTGTTTGTCATGAGTCGTTGTGCACCTGCCAGGTGTCATGAAGAAGTCTTTCATATGTTCACAGACCTCCCAGCCAGTATACTGCAAGCACCTTCAGATTAGAGCATCGGGATAGCGCTCTGGACGATGGAATCAATTACGGCATTCCCACCTCAACCAAACATCGACAGTACGCCATCATGGAAAGTGGTCAAGCAAGACATGGAGCTATCAAAACTTCAAGCACCAGAGGTCAAGACCTTTGTCTATCGTGCTTTCGCAGCAGTGATCTGGGCCTACACTGGTGACAAGACCATAAGCTTTGTGGCAGCGACTTGCTCTCAATCTGGGCTTCGAGACATCGCAGTGCATGAATACCAACAGTCTGAAGCAAGTCCGGATGAAAGAGATTTTATGTTGATTGGCAAAACCGCACTGGAAAGACTTCCAAGCAGTAGAAGCATACTCATCCACCTCTGTGACGATCATGCCACCTGCACTGAGCAACTTTCTCTACCACCGGATAACGCACTACAGCTCTCCTTCCAAGTGATCTCGGAAGGCCGTTTTGTCCAATTTGCAGCTCGATTTGACCAGTCATCTCTGGACAGATCTCATGTGAGATCCTATCTGCAAGTCCTGGTAAATGCGGCCAAGGCACTCCAGTCAGCTACAATGCCTGGAGTGCTGCGTGTGGTCAGCGAAATTTCTATGAGCGACAAGAACTTCATCCAGCAATGGAACGGCGAGCCCCAGAGACTCATCTCGGAATGCATACACGACCGCATAAGTCGCATCTTTACCAGCGACAGCGGAAAAATTGCGGTAGAGTCTTGGGATGGTCGCCTGAGTCGAGAATATGTTGAGCTAGAGTCCAGCTCTATTGCTACGCTCTTAGTCAACGCCGGAGTACAACCTCAGCGAAGTGTCGGAATTCTTATGCACAAGTCAAAGTCTGTTCCCACATGCATGCTCGGCGTTCTCAAGTCAGGAGCGGCATTCATATTGACGGATCCAGCGTTGCCACGCAAACGATTGGAGACGATCATTAAGAAGCTCTCAATTGAGCATGTTCTCACAACGAGATCGCACGTACACCTCATTCATGATCTGGTGCCATCGGTGTTCGTCGAGATTTCGCAAGGTCACTTCGCGGCAGCATCGCCTGATGAGAGACAGCGAGTCTTCAGCACACGCAGTACCACGAAGCTACCTCACGTTTCTCCTTCGAGCGTCGCTTTCTACATTTTCACCTCTGGTAGCTCTGGTATCCCAAAGGCTGTAGAGATCTCCCACGCTGCATTCGTCACCTCGTGCGAAGAGAACAATCAGTGTGGGATCTACGAGAGCACAAGGACCCTGCAATATGCGTCTTATAACTTTCTTCCGTCGATAGTCGAAATTCTTGGAACCTTCATGGCTGGAGGCGTACTATGTATACCTGGTCCAGAGGAACGGATGGACAACTTGTCCGGGGCTATACAGCGCTTGCAGCCGAGCTTGGTGTGTTTGACTTCTTCAGTAGCAAGTGTGCTCGATCCGGACGAAGTGAGCAGTGTCAAAGAATTGATGCTATTGGGAGAGCCACTACAGCGAACAACGGCAGCTACATGGCTCACGTCGCAGACTACAGTCCTGCGTCACGGATACGGCCAGAGCGAAGCTGGTGGGCAATGTTGCGATATAGCCTTGACCCAGTCAAGTCGCAGCTACAGGGTGATTGGAAATCATAGTCACCTCAATTTCTGGATCGTTGACCCCTCGGACCATAATCGCTTAATGCCAGTTGGTGGCATAGGAGAATTACTCCTGGAAGGTCACTCTTTGGCGACTGGGTACTACGAAGAACCCGCCCTCACCTCTGCAGTCTTCATTTCTGCACCTTCATGGGCGCACACGTTGAATGCAGGTACCGACGGTCGTAGATGGTACAAGACTGGCGATTTGGTCCAGTATCAGGCAAATGGCGATATCGTCCTCTACGGCCGGAAGGACTTCCAGCTCAAAGTGAATGGCCAACGCGTGGAAAGTACAGACATTGAGCATTATATCAAAGCCGCCTGTCCTGATGAAGTCGAACAAGTGGTCGTTGACAAGCTGGGTCCCGAGCATGATCAGAAGCTCACTGCAATTGTGAAGCTTCAAGCGGACATCGCATCGACTCTAATGGCACCTTCCACTTTCCGTGCTATAATGTATGAAAGCTTGAAGAATCTGGTGCCGGCATACATGATACCTTCAAAAGTAGTCTTCACTGCAGAGATGCCAAAGACGGCGACTGGGAAGCTCCATAGGCGAGCGCTCAGGCAGCAATTGAACTGTTCCGGGGAGGAGCACGTCTTGGCTCAAGAAGTAGTACGGACAGGTGCCACTCAGTTTGAAGATCCTGGAACTGACCTCATACGTTCATTGTGTAGCAAGGTGCTGAATTTGGGCGACAAACCATTCACTGCAGAAAGTGACTGGATCTCACTCGGAGGAGACTCGCTATCTGCTATACGTTTCATTAAGCACGCCAGAGATCTAGGCTTCCGTTTGTCAACAACAGATCTGATGATGGGACGAAAGCTGTCTGAGCTGTGTTGTGGCAGACGACCATCAAATGTGCCCTCCACATCCGTGGGACAGTGTTCGCTGGGGACTGCCCAGCTTTTCCCGCTAACAGATTTTCAACGCAGATATCTACCTCTGGTCAACGGTTCTACCCCAGGCCTCCTTTGCAAGTACGAATTGTCATTTCGTGGGCGGATTGATAGCCAAAGACTGCAAGAAACTGTCTACCGCTGGATTGAATCGATCGATGCCTTGCGCCTGTCCTTCTCATCAGACAGTGGACATCTAGTACAGAGCTTTCTAAGCCCGTCGAGCAGCGCATGGCGATGTCGCGTTGTGCTGGGATTCGATCGTCAAAGTGTCGCTGCACTGTCTGCTCAGCACGATTTTCTGAAGCATCCTGTACTTGCCATTCTATGCGATACGCCTGAGCCGGGCCAAGCAGACTCCTGCCTTGTTCTGCACATCAGTCACAGCATCATGGACGCCACTTCTTCCAACTACTTGTTCCAGGACTTGGTTGACATCTATGCCGGCCGAGCCGCTGAAGTGAGACCGAGCTTTGCGCAATACTTGGAAGAAAGAATGGCGCGGGAGTATCATACCTCCATCGAGTACTGGAGAGCGCTTCTCGCCGGATCAAAGCCACAATTGTTACGCAGCGCACTTAGACCGCTCGGCGGATTGTCCAACCAGGATATGGCAACAAGTACAGTAACTCATGTGGCAATTTTGCCAACAGGAGATGGCCCAAAAGCGACAATGTCAACTGTGGTCCATACTGCCTGGTCACTCGTCTTGAGTGTTCTTGCCAATAGTAGCGACGTCATGTTTCTCTACCTCAGTCATGGCCGCGATGACAGATTCGAAGGCAGCGACGCTGTGATCGGATGCTGTGTCAACGAAGTTCCATGCAGAGTCATTCTCGATGATTTATCGTCCTCGTCGAAGGTTTTGAACAACCTTCAAGAACAAATTATTCAGTCCATGGCCCATGCTCACCTCGGCGCAAGTACCATTGCAAACAAGTGCACCGACTGGCCTCAAAAAGAGACGATGTACGACCACAGTAGCTTGGTGGTGCATCAGAACGTGCCCATCGAGCATAGCTGGGCAATGGGCAAAGATGGGTATATGAATTTACAAGAAGTAACATTTGAGGAGCAGTGGAGCTACGACTTTGATTTATCCACAAGCTCTTCGAGTGCTAATGAACTCTATGTGGAGCTGAAGTGTTTGCAGAGTCTCTACACCGTCGAGGAGTTGGAAGCTGTGATGCAAGGATTTCTGATCGCAGTGCGCATGCTGAAAGAGGGCATGCGAAACGTTGCTGATATCAAGGCTAACGTGCGCGCAGTGGAGCACTTACCAATCGTGGTATCAGCAGAGTCAGGATCGGTACGGATGGAACAAAGTCGCTTGTGAAAGCCACCATAGAAGTGAAAATAGTGGATAATGCGAACTGTTTCACAAACAGCTCAATCTGTCTCGATAATGCGAGCCCACGCTTCTGCAGCTTACGCTTCAGAGCTGAGAAATGATTTATGCAAATAAGGAGCTCAGGCCCAGATCAATGAGCATCATCTCCGCAGCGCCGTTGCTGAACCGCTTCTGTACGATTAGAGCTTTGCGCCCCCAGCCACAGCAGCATCCTCCTCTCCTGGAATTCCCGTTTCAGAGATTGGCCCAGACTTAGGACCGGTGTACTTGAAGTCCTCGTTGACATCGGTGCCGTCTTTTTCATAGGTGGCAACTGATGGCGTGACAAAATCCGCAGCAGGGTCGATGCCGAGACTCACCCATGCGAGGACACCATCTTCGATCTTGTCTCCAACAAGGACATATTGGACAAATGGATCAGAGCCTTTGGCTTCTTGGTACAAGATACCATCCTCATCGTTGTTGAGAAGCTCCTGGGTGTTGGTGTTGTATGGAGCCGTGGCTTCGACTTGGGAGATGAGGTCTTGGTCGAAGAAAATTTGGCCTACGTGCGAGGCGTGCGCAGTGTGGTTGCTAGCTGCGTTGATAAGAGTACCATTGGTCCGAATAGTGGTAGAGTTGACGTTGTGTGTCATGACGTGGATGTGGACCGCACGACCAATGTAGTGACCCGGGAAGATAGATTGAAATTGAACGACACCATTAATGTCAGTCTGCTGCACAGCGCGAAGGAAAGTGGTTTCTTGGTTCGATGTGTCGTTGGGGTTCCCGTTTGATGGGTTGATCACACCCGAGTAGACACCCGTGCTGTTGCAGTGCCATACGTCGACGAATACAGCGGGGACAGGCTCGCAGGTGGAGGTGTCAACCAGCTGGATGGACAAGTAAAGCGGAATGCCAACTTGATCTTCGGACATGTCATTGCCTGCAGGATATGTCAATTGAGCTCTCTCGTGCGGAGATATGTCAACGCTTACGAATGATCTCGCCGTCAACGTAGTACGGTCCTTGTGTGGTCTCGGGCTGAAGGAGACAGCTGGAGTCGTCGGCGAACAATTCTCGCTCGTCAGATCCCAAGCCGACATCAAGGTTCGAAGCGTGTGAGACGTTGTAGTCTGCAAAGTCTCGGCGCTGGAGTGTGGGTTGGTTCAGACCACGCTTGACACGAGCCTGTCGAGCGAGCTCACTTCGACGAGCAACAGCTTCCTCGTGGTGTCCGCGACGTTTGAGGTCACTTGCACAAGATTGGACGGATCTTGGCTTTGCTGTACGAAGCCAATGGCCTCGCTCTGCTGCCTCCTCTGCCACAGAGTGACCAGGGTGGGAGAGAACTCCGTTTGCGGCCAAGAGCCCGAAGGCAAGGAGAGAAGAATCGGTGCCATTTGAGTCCAATGAGCGCTGGACTAGAAGTCAGAACGGATTCGTGAAGTTGGATATGAGAGCTGAGAGCGCCCCGTACAGTATAAGTACCAGATCTATTAGTGCACACTTATGAGTTAAGCCACATCTCGTCGCCGCGGAATTTTTGCGCAGAGAACGATCCCTGAAACATGGGCTGGCACTTTCGTTACACCCAGCGTTCGTTGAGGCTCTGGCGAACATCGGCAGCACTCGATCGGAGCCGTAGGCAGACTTCGTGCGACCGCAAAGTCATGGACTAACCTGAATAGTGGTCCAACCATGGCCAATGAGGCATTCCGCGATGTCGATTAGGAGGCATTGGACCGCTGCCCGTGTGATACGGCGGGCCTGCCGCGAAATCTCCATAGTAAGACCTCGTCTACTCGGGCAGCTAGAGGGTAATCGCTAGTTGGCTCATTGATCCCAATCGGAGTCGCAAGCAGATGGGGCTCGGTGTAGCGACGGTAGCCGGCAAAGAGTCTGCAGCCGAGTGGTGTGTCGTTGCGCCGAAAGGTCGTAAAGTGATGCCATAGTCCATTTAATTCACGCAGATCTGGTTTCGTTCCGCAGCTGATGGTGTGTCGATCGTTGAAGTGCCAGCGGAACAGGTCGCTGTGGGTCTTTCTGGGGCTGCCAGGGACACAGTCAACCTCCAGTGAAAGCTCGACTGCCCAGTCAATGAAGACATTCGATATCAACCGTCCGGCGGTGTTGAAGCGGCCAATGCGGCGATAAACACGGGTCGACGAGACTTCGTTGTTGCTTGAGAAGTGCTCGCTTCCATCATTCAATGTCTGTGTTGCAATCCACCATCTGCTTGCTTTGATCGCATGAAGTTCGGCCGACTCTGATTGTCGATGTTGCAATCGAAACGTGCTACGCTTGAGAGAGGGCTCTGTGAAACTTGTGGCGAAGAAAGTGGAGTACTTTTTGACCATGTTCGGGCTTGACCTGTTGCTCTTCATCTTCGGGTCTACCACGGATCAACGCATGCGGCCGCATTCTGCGCGAATCTTGGCAGTGACGAAGTGCGTCTTGCGTGATGGTACTGCCAGCAAGGCGATAAGAACGCACGCGCTGCAAACACGCCGTTCAAGGTCTCGAACGAAGTCTTGAAGAAGACATGCTAAGTCTTTCGTCGGCCCCATCTGCCGCTGCGCCGCAGGCTAGACCCACAAAAAGTCTTCGCCCGATGCGTCGCCGACATTGACCAGCACTTGAATCACGCGTCTTTCTTCACAAAGTCTCAGACCGCACGTCTTGTTTAGTGATCAATCTAACACGATGGACCGATGTCGATTGAGGCATAGCAAGTGACCTCTGTTCTCGACCACGCGATGTCCATCAAAGACTTCGGACTCAAGCGCTTGCAGTGACGCTCTATGCAGTAGCACTTCAGCTTCTGAGTGGATCTGCCACTTAAGGAGTCAGTCACCGCGCAGCATAGTGGGAGGATCCACCATTGGTCTTCTTGTATCGACATTAAAGGTGATGGCGACTGATATGTGGCAGACCGTACGTGCATGAGTGGTGTTAATAGCGCTTGACTCGCATCTTCCACAAATCCAACGAGGTGGCGGTTGATAGAAGTAGGTATTTGACTGTGGTCAGAAACCTCAACGGCTGCTGTTTCAGCCTGGCTCAATTGGACCTCTCCGTCACCATTGGCCAAATTGCCATGAAATTCAGTCGGGCAAGTGGTTGGTCGATATACGACCTTCGTGATCGCTGTGGCTTGCATGCCTTGCCGACGAACAGGAGAAGCTTGGTGTCCGAGTGCATTCGTGAGCACTGAGCATCATGGGAATACTCGAGCTGTCCCACATGATGGGCCATGTAGCCTCCAGAGCTTCAGATAGGAAAGCTCGAATGCATCGGCCAAACCCTGCTGATCATGTGTCAGCTCACTCTCATGCGCGTCGTATTAAGGCTCGTACCGCAGGATTCCCTGAAAAGGGCTCAATTCCGTGACTCATAACCTGTTGAAGGTCTGCTCGCTCTCTGTTCGGGACAAAGTGATTAGCTTCATCTGCTGCTCATCATTCGAGCGCACTTGACAATGTGCGAGTTCAACGATCGTGGGTGAGATGCTCGACGTCGAAGCATGGTCTCGAAATGGATATAGCCATTTGTGAGATTTCCATCCTTTCATCTTTCCAAAGCCAGGATTGAAGAATCGCTACATGATCATCGATCCTCTAGCGTGGATGGAAATTGCAACAGAGTTTCTGGGCAGGGCTCCGCTAGGGACTCTCCATAGCCTGGAGTTTCCTTATCGTTGCCGGTATATATTCTTTAGGGCCTTCCGACTTGCGGCTCTCATATGTCAGATCTGTCTTCGCTGAGCGGATTAGCTGGTCTTGGAGGAACTCGCACCTGCTTCTTGCGCAAGAAGCACTGGGAACCATCGTTCTTGGTGCCAGGCCCAAATGGCCCTTTCTTCCCGAAATCAGAGCCTGCATCAGATTCGATGTAATGCATGATATCGTCTAAACGGATTGCCGATTCGCTAAAGAGGCGATGCCATACCATCTTGCCGACGTTTACGAATCCATCGCTATCAGTACGAATGATGCCCTTTTCCGCCTGGTCGAGGTAAGAGTCGAGGGCATGCTTGACGTCCGAGAGTCTGGGAGAGATTGCTTTCACGGTCCAAGCCGGAACTGTAGCCGGACTTGTATTAGAATTATTCTGCATCGCCGAATTGCGATATACATCTGAAAGCCTTCGAACCTGAAATCGCCCCGCGGAAGTAAGCAGTGAGGTTGATCCTGTGGCCGGTCGCATTTCGAAACACTGCCCGCCAGAGCTCTGCAATGCAGCTACTAGATCTTCCACAGTCGGGATACGCTTCTTAAGGTCCGAGTCTTGGAGTAGGTCTTCAGAATCCACGAATCCCTCAGATTCAACGCGGGTGTGATTCTAATCGACATTTCGGGCGAAACAGAATCGAGTGCATTAATCATGACCGCATAATCTGTACTGTTGCCATTCGGTGGCACTGATCCCGGCGCAAAGGGCCTCTTCGGTCTGTGTACGGGAGAGGGCTGCAACGTTTGAGATAAAGGCTCTGCACCGTGAGGAGCTCAAGAACTTCCGCCAGGAGCGCTCTGAGACCTGTCCAGATCTGTGTTGTCACTCTCATCGGCCAACTTGATCTCGAAATCAGCCGGACTGTAAGAGAACTCGTTTGCGAAAGCAGTCGGCTGGATTTTGAACGATTTCCCAGCCGGACCCTTCACAAACGCGATCAGCTCAGTGAAATTTACACCTACGTGACTTAGCCACGAGCCGGCCAGGACATCGCTCACGTTGATGAAGCCACGATGGTCTGCCCACACATATCCCTTCTCGACTCGCTTGAAATACTCGTGCAGCTCCGCCCGTATCTGATCATCTCGCGTAGAGATCCTGTATGAGTTCGGATCTGGCTTGTGGATCACAGGGGCTGAGAGTGGTTGTCGTTGCTTCGAGTGCTGTTCTACTGGAGAACTTGCAGAACGTCGGGTTCCTCTTTCTTCGTCCAACCTATAGGGAAATACCACTTCCCGATCGGGTCTCGGTGATAGCCGAGGTGACGATACACGTTCAGGCTGAGGACTTTGCGGCATCTGTTCGACTGAGGGCGAGCCGAAAGTCATTGCATGAAGTCCGCGTTGATGTGGCGTCAACTGAGGCACCTGGACCTGCCCGCTGTCTTTGACAGTAATACCATGTTCCGCTCTGATCTCTCTATGCAGTCTCTTCATGGCGTTCTTTCCTTCACCATAGATAAGTGGTATGTATATCTCGCAGATACCGAGCATGCAATACGCCCGATCTTCAGGTCTCGTGGTTGTTCTTCGCAACATCCACGCTAGCCGCTCCTCGAAGGTGACATCTTTGGCGTAGGTATAGTCCCACAGTATTTGTTCATCGATATTGGTAATTTGCGAAAGGTAATGATTGAGCGGCAGCTTCAGGTGTTGCCAAGTTACGACCTCATCGCTCAAATTCAGGAGTGGCTCATGATGAGATTTGTGTCCAATGACCACCCACGAGGCGTCCAGAAATACCACACATTTGGGTGCGAGAAGTTCTTGGAGTGTCCATCCGCGAGTAAACCACACGCTTTGTTCCAAGCAATGTAGAACCTCCAAGGGGCTGTAGCTCGCTGTCTCGACATCGTGAAGAAACGCCAAGCAACACCACGCCTGGCGCTACCACTGAAACATCGAAGTGATGGCTTCTTGCAATTCGGCCGAGCTTTCTTTATTGATGCAACAAGTGTCTATCCAGATGTGGCAGGGAATGGTTCGCAGCGCGATCAATGGCTCAGGCTTTTCGTACGAATCCCTCCATATTTTGACGAAATCGCAGAAGGCCTTGATCTTGCGCATGCCAGCCTTGCCACGGACAGTGGAATCACGCTCGTGCCGTAGCACTTCCTGAAAGCTGACTTCTCCATCGAGCCACCTGTGAGAAGTTATGATATAAGGAGGAGCGTCTTCCGCCGAGGCATACTCATGTAGCTTTAAGGTATCGATGTGTAGCAGCCGCATGTCATAAGTTGTGCATGGTCGCACAGATTCCTGTCGGGCTGCAAGTGAAGAAGAATGCTGAGGTGAGCTGCGAAGAGAGGTCCAGAGCGATCATCGCAAGCCACACGCATCCTTCGAGAGTCTCTTGGCGCATAGACTTGCGCTGGCTCTTCATGTGGTGTGGTTGCAATTGGCGTTTTCCTCGCTGTATACCACACAACGTAGTCGCTTTATATGACCATTCTGTCTATCTGCTGCGTGTCGTCGCTTCGTGCTGTCATGGACTTTCACTCCATGCCGATGTCGTTTTTTCACGACTGACCGGCGAGTGCGGATTGTCCTCTAGTCCCAGTCGCTGTCGTCGTCGTCATCTTTCCCTTTACGATCACTTTGTCGTATGCTTCGATACGGTCTATCCCCAGCTTCCTCTTCCTCGCCGCTCCCTTCCAACCTTTTGTCTCCGTGTTTCACAGCACCCAGCCCCAGCAAAATCTTCTCCATGTCTCCAATACTCGTCTTCTCCCCATTCAGTTCCTTCAGCGTTACAATCTGTCTCTTGATCTCGGTGTCTTTGTACACCAACACCGTGGGCGTATTCCGGTCCGGGTACCCCTCAATACATAAGTTTCCCTGTATTTGACAGAACTTGATATCTCCAAATTTGCGAGCGAGTTCCCGCCAGACCTCGATCATGAGTTGCGATTCGATGTTTGTGCCCGTACTTGAAGTCAAGAGAACAAACACCCACGCCTCTTTACTCGCATCCGTGACTTCACGAGTCCAGTCCGGCTTTTGCACGGGGTAAACTTGATTGAAGACGCTCGTTTGTTGCAGGTGAGCCATTTCAGCCATTCGCTTCTGGCGATACTGATCAAGAAAAGCTTCATCCTCATCGTCTTCGAGTTCGTCCAATTCATCGAGATCCTTGCCTTCGAGTCGGTTCTCATGAGCGAGCTCTCGGGCCTGCAGAAGAGCAGCTTCGATTTGCGGTGTTGGTGATGGAGGCTTGTCGGGGATGATGCCTTTCGAGCGGAGGATGTCGTTCCTGAGACTTGGGCTCAGTATTTGACATGTTTGCGATCACGGTGGTGTGTACCATTCGGTGTCGGCGTTGGGGTCGTCGACGGGGACGTTCACGGGCATATCCGGCATGTTGTTCATGATGACGGTGATGTGTGTCCGTGACACTGGGCAAGGTCTTGTGCAAGTTTAGAGAGTTGCCTAAAAGTGAACGACCCGCGACTTCCATCGTCATTTCATGCGGCTCTGCTGTTTCGCTGCCCCAGAGTCTTGGCACTCCGAACATCCAGCTGGCAGGGACCACAGATCCACCGCCGACAACAACTTCACCTCCGCTCCACCCCCCTTCTCTCTTCTCGCCGCCCGATCGCAGAGATGGCGCTCAACAAGAAGGACGAGGACGATGCCGGCATTGTCAAAGTCGACCGCACTTCTGTCTTCCAAGAAGGTACAGCTGCGTCCCGCATCCCCTGCCCGCCAATGGATCGACCACCTATACCACAAATCAGTGTACTGACTATAATCTTCTTGCACAGCCCGAGTCTTCAACACATCTCCGATCTCCCCGCGAAAATGTCGAATCCTCCTTACCAAACTCGCCCTTCTCCTCTTCACCGGCGAAAAGTTCCCCACCAACGAGGCCACCTCTCTCTTCTTTGGCATATCCAAGCTGTTCCAGAACAAAGATGCCTCGCTACGTCAGATGGTCTACCTGGTCATCAAGGAGCTTGCGAACACGGCCGAGGATGTCATCATGGTCACAAGCTCCATTATGAAGGACACAGCGGTCGGCAGCGACGTAGTCTACAGGGCCAATGCTATTCGCGCGCTGTGCAGAATTATCGATGCTTCTACAGTGCAAGCGATTGAGAGGAACATCAAGACTGCCATCGTAGACAAGACGCCTTCGGTCTCCTCCGCAGCTCTGGTCTCCAGTTACCATTTGCTGCCTATTGCGCGAGACATTGTGAGGAGGTGGCAGAGCGAGACTCAAGAGGCTGCCTCGTCAAACAAATCGAGTGGAGGGTTCATGGGTTTTGGAGGCTCTTCACAACATCTCCCGGCCAACACGAATTATATGACACAATACCACGCTATTGGTCTGTTGTACCAGATGAGGAGCCACGATCGCATGGCTTTGGTCAAGATGGTGCAGCAATACTCCGCTGCTGGAGTCGTAAAGAGCCCGGCGGCGAGGGTGATGCTTGTGCGATTGGCTGCCAAATTGGCTGAGGATGACCCAAGCCTGAGGAGACCAATGATGAAGCTTTTGGATGAATGGCTGCGGGACAAGAGCGAGATGGTTAACTTTGAAGCTGCCAAAGCAATTGGGGAGATGCCAGACTTGACGGATGCCGAGACAGGTCAGGCGATCCATGTGCTGCAGCTGTTCTTGACCAGCCCACGCGCTGTCACCAAATTCGCGGCGATTCGGATTCTCCACCAATTCGCCTCGTTCAAGCCGGATGCTGTGCGACAATGCAATCCAGACATTGAGAGCCTTATTTCGAACTCGAACCGATCCATTGCTACATTCGCTATCACGACGCTCCTCAAGACTGGTAACGAGTCCTCGGTCGATCGTCTCATGACACAGATCAGCACATTCATGTCAGAGATTACGGATGAGTTCAAGGTCACCATTGTCGAAGCCATCCGGACCCTATGCTTGAAATTCCCCTCCAAACAAGCGCGTATGCTCACTTTCCTCTCCGGTATCCTTCGCGACGAAGGTGGCTACGAGTTCAAGCGAAGTGTAGTGGAGAGCATGTTCGACCTGATCAAATTCGTGCCAGAAGCTCGGGATGAGGCTCTTGCACATCTCTGCGAGTTCATCGAGGACTGCGAATTTACCAAACTGGCTGTCCGTATCCTACATGTCCTCGGTATGGAAGGGCCAAAGACTGCACAGCCTACGAAGTACATTCGCTACATCTACAACCGAGTGGTCCTCGAAAACGCGATCGTACGAGCAGCCGCCGTCACAGCACTTGCGAAATTCGGCGTCGGGCAGAAGGATCCAGAAGTAAAGAAGAGTGTCGGCGTCCTGCTCAAGCGATGTCTGGATGATACTGATGATGAAGTTCGCGATCGTGCTGCATTGAACTTGCGCTTGATGAAGGATGAGGATGACGATTTCTCAGGACGCTTTGTCAGAAATGGTAAGTGCACGTATTGCAAGCACAAACCCGCAGTACTAATGAATTGCAGACTCGATGTTCTCCCTTCCGGTTTTGGAGGATCAGTTGGCACACTATGTGAATGGCGGCTCAGCTGAGGCCTTTGCCAACCCATTCGACTTCTCTAACGTTCCAGTTGTCACTCGAGAGCAGTCTCTCGCCGAAGATCGGACGAAGAAGCTCACTACGGCCACTCCTACGCTCAAAGCCCCAACTATCGGACCCAAGAAAACAGACACGTCTGCCGCGGAGGCTGCGGCTCAAGCGACCGTGGCTACGCAGAAATACGCTTCGCAGCTTGGAGCTATTCCCGAATTCTCATCATATGGCGGCGTCCTCAAATCATCACCTGTCGTTGAGCTTACCGAATCTGAAACGGAATACGTCGTGTCTGCGGTCAAGCACTTGTTCAAGGAGCATGTCGTCATCCAATTCGACATCAAGAACACTCTGGCCGATTATGTCCTTTCCGATGTGTCCGTCATCTGCACACCTTCATCCCCTGATGAGGAAGAAGAGACGCCTCTCGTGGATGATGGCTTCGTCATTCCTGTGGAGCTGCTGAAATCTGAGGAGCCTGGCACTGTATACGTTTCATTCTCGCGGCCCGAAGGACAATTCGTTGCCGCATCATTCACCAACGTCCTGAAATTCACCCTCAAGGAGATTGATCCGGCGACCGGTGAGCCAGAAGAAGGTGGCTACGAAGATGAGTACCAGACCAACGACCTCGAGCTGGACGGATCGGATTACGTGGTGCCTGCCTTTGCTGGATCATTCGACAACATTTGGCAAGGTCTGCCAGATGCAGAGGAGGCGAGCGAGACTCTGCAACTCAGTCATGCGAAGAGCATATCCGAAGCGGTGGAGCTCCTTGTTAAAGCCCTAGGCATGCAACCACTCGAGGGCTCCGAGGTTGCGTTATCGACAAGCACACACACATTGAGATTATACGGCAAATCAGTCACAGGTGGAAAGGTCGCTAGTCAGATCAGAATGGCGTTCTCGGCGAAGAGCGGCGTTACGGTGAAGATCACAGCGAGGTCCGAGGAAGAGGGCCTTGCTGCGTTGGTTGTCGGAGGTGTAGCGTGAGTGTTATCTATGGCCCGATGAGTCGGGCTGGCATAAATGAGGGAGAGCGTGCCGGACAGCTTGGTGTACACAGGCGTCGAGGCGCATCATTGATAAGGAGGATTGAGATGAATTAGCGTGGAGACTGCAGGGCTTTTCTGGGTTTGCTGCTTTTCCAGAGACAGGCAAGAGAAAAGCAGAGTGCGAGAAGCGCGTTAGATTTTGTTGAACATGCTTACCATTTCAATTATTGCTGAGTGCTGAGTGGTCGTGATGCGAAGTTGATGACGGCACATAAGCCACTGGCCGTCTGTTCGTCTCAGGATATCTCAACCTCTTGCAATTTACAACTCATCGTCCCATCATGGCCAACCTTGCAGGGTGTATGTCGCCGTCAGCTACGCCAGCAGCAGCAGTAGCATCACCGCTGGACTCCACCTTCTTTTCCTTTCGCTCCTTCCCTCCCCGGTCTTTCCCACCCTCCTGTCTCTCCTTCTTCGCCTTCTCCTTCTTCTCCAACTCCGCCCTCCGCTCTCTTTGCTCATTTAACCTAACATTCTTCTCTCGAATCCTCTCTTTCCTCTCCCCACTTTTCCCTCCACCCCCACCAGCCGTCAATTCCACATTAATCCTCCTCGCCGTATCCTTCTTCCCTTTACCCTTTCCAGCCCCACCATTTCTCCGATCAGGATGCATCCCACTCTCATCTTCTTTCCCCGGCGCAGTAGGGTCAGGCACCACTTCCCCGCGATCTATCGCTTCCGGGTCAAAGAGACTGTGATGGAAGACTTTGAGACATGTTTTCATTCGATCATAATTTTCGAATTCTAGGAATGCAAAGCCTTTGGATTTTTTCGTTTTGGGATCGGTGCGGTGGCGGAGGGTGAAGGGTTGGAGTTTGGCGAAGTGCTTTTCGAGACTGGAGTCGGTGGTTTTGTAGGGGAGATTGCCGACGAAGACAATGAAGCGGGACTTTTTGGGAGGTGCTGCGGTGCCATCGGATGTAGTGGCTGGTGTGGACTTCTTCGTCTTTTGCCGTTTCTTTTTGGGAGGTTGTGTGGATGATGCTGTTGCAGGTTCGGCGGTGTCGTTCGCAGACGCGGATGCTAGCGTGGGGTCCGCGGTCGTGTCAGAGAAGAGCTCGCCGGCTTTGCGCTTTTTCGAAGGTTTCGACTCGGTGGGCTCTACGGCTTGCTCAGGCGCATCATTGTTCGTGTCGTCGTCTTGCTGAGGAAGCGCATCGGGTTCAGCGACTTCCCTGTGCTTTCGCTTCTTGCCCTTTTGCTGCGCTCGCTCGGCATCGCGGAGGGCCTTCTTGTCTTTTCGCGACAGTGCACTCTCTTCCTGAGACATTGCGGGCAGATATGTTGGACTCGATTTCAATATCGAGGATCTTTCTCCAGCAGCTGTCGAGGATTTCTGCGGACAAGCTTCGGAATATCGGCAGCGGCTGCAGCCCGTGCTCCGCATGCAGGGTCCCACTAGCGCGAATCACTCAATCTCGTCTGGGCAGGTGTTATCAAGCGATTCCGTCAGCTGCCGTGTACAGTACTATCTCAAAAGTCTGTCACCTTGGCGACTTGGCATGGATTCTCAATCTGATTCAAGCTTGTTTAATCGTGTGTTTCTTAACACTATATCGCTATATAGTTCTTAAACTGCCTAAGTAATTTAATAAGTATCTTATCTATTACTTAATTACTTTAGTTTATCGCTATTATCTTAGTACTTAGTATACTAGCTCTCGGTATTAATAATAGCCTATATTCTTCGTAGTATTAACTCTAGTACTAT